GGTGGCCGCTGTCTTCCTTGGTGGACTTTCCATTGTGGGAGATAGAATTGGACCGCTACCTTCCCCGTCTCAAATCCCGAACTCAGCCCGAAGCTCAGTGAGGGCACAGCTGGCAGGATTCCACATAATCTGTAGCACTGTTTCTCTCTGCTTGCTGGTCGCTTCTCGGTGGTGCCCCGCCGTCTGTAGCCATGGGGCAGGCCGCGCGAAGGGCGGCGGATCAGTCAGCCTGAAACTCCGGTCGCACAGTTGGCTCATGTTAGAGATTCAATAACCGGTCCTCGGTGCTGGAAATCCTTCCTCTAGGTTTCAGTGCACCCCTATTTTGCTGTAAATTCCTAACAAGATAGCTTTTTGTCGCTCTAACTCATTATTCACCTGCACAGTGATGCAGTACACGGGGTGTGATGCACTGTATTCGCGGCCATCTTGGAGTCCTCGATAAAGGGTTTTTAAGTCTCTATCTTCACCTACCATGCTTTAAAAAAAGTCTGACAACTGGGATTTTAAAGTTCTAAGTTTTTTATGATCTGAGTTTCTAACTATATGAGATTTATACTTGCTTAGGTTTTGTAGCATATTATCCTGTACATACTGAGGGTGTTTGGCTGTAGGAAAAGAGATAGTTTCAGTCACACACACACACACACACACACACACACACACACATAGATATCAGCAACTTTATTTATAGAAAGTATGATAATTACTATACCTTTCAATCAATGGAATGTCTGAGAAATGTTATTTGCACTGTAAAAACTGAAGTGACCTCAAAACCTAGTGGGCCATGTTTGTTTGAGTTAGGACCTCATTATGGGTGAGGACAATTTATGTTTCTGTGACTAGTTTTACGAAGCATGTTTGGATTTCATGAACCAACTGTAGCATCTCTAGTCATTATACAACACTGTGTTTATTAACCCAAATTCCAATTTCCTAGGATGCATTCTAGAAGACCAAAATTGAGAGCATTTGTAAGCACATAATTCTTAATTAAAGTTTGCATCTTTCTGGTGTATGACTGCCAGTGGACCACCACAGGATTTCAAGCCCACAGTCCAAATCTACCAATACTGGCCTCTGATGGTCCCATGTGAACAGCATGCCTGTTCCACCCCTCCCCCAGTGAAGAAAACACTTACCACAACCTAGGCTCTGGTGAAGAGTCACCCATTCTAACCAGGATACCTCTGAAAGAGGTCAAGGCCAGAGGTCTAGATCCACCCACACCAACTTGCACAGGACTCAGATCCAGGATTTAGTAGCTTTCATTGAGAAACACCAGTAGGGTCTGAAACCCAACACCAAGGGAGAGGTTCAGAAAATCTGCACACATACTACAATAATATAAGGAAGAAGCTGTAATATTTGAGATCCACACAGCAAAAAAAAAAAAAAAAAAAAAAAAAAAAAAAAAAAAAAAAAAAAAAAAGACACATAGACAACATAGGGAAAAAAAGAGAGGAAAGTATTCCAAACAAACCAGGACACTATAATAACAAAACCCACACACAGTGAAGTTGATGAAATATCAGAGAAGGTGTTCAGAAAGTTCATGATTAAAATGATCTGTGAATTAAGGAATGAAGTAAATGAGCAAATACAGGGAAAAATTGATCACTCCAACAATGAGATAAGAAAGCAAATACAGGTAGAAAAAGATTACTTCAAAAGAGAGACAGAGACTCTGAAATAAAATCAGTCAGAAATCCTTGAAATCTGGGGGCTGGGGATATGGCTCTAGTAGTAGCGTGCTTGCCTGGCATGTGTGAGGCACTGGGTTCGATCCTCAGCACCACATAAAAATAAAATAAAGATATTGTGTCCACTTAAAGTTAAAAAAAATATTTTTTAAAGATCCTTGAAATGAAGGATACAATAAATCAAATAAAAAAAAAACTCAATAGAAAATATAACCAACAGACTAGATCACATGGAAGAAAGAATGCCAGATAATGAAGACAAAGTATATTCTGGAAAATAAAGTTTATCACACAGGGAAGATAGTTAGAAACTATAAACAGAATATCTAATAATTATGGGATGGCCTAAAAAGACAAAATTGAAGAGTTATTGAGATAAAAGAAGGCACAGAGTTTCAAATCAAAGGTATACACAATCTCTTCAATGAAATAATATCAGGAAATTTCCCAAGCATAGAGAACAAATTGGAAAACCAAATACAAGAGGATTTCAGGACACCAAATAGAAAAAATTACAACAGATCTACACAAAGTTACATTACAATAAATATGCCTAGCATACAGAATAAGAATAGACTATTAGAAGCCACAAGAGAAAGGAATCAGATCACCTATCAAGAGAGATCAATTTATATATCAGAAGATTTTTTAACACAGACCCTGAAAGCCAAGAATTGTGGAAAAACATATTTTAAGCTTTGAAAAAAATGGATGCAAATCAAGAATCTTATATTCAGCAAAATTTTTTTTTAAAGAGAGAATGGGAGAGAGAATTTTTTTTTAATATTTATTTTTTAGTTCTTGGCAGACACAACATCTTTGTTTATATGTGGTGCTGAGGATCGAACCTGTGCCGCACGCATGCCAGGTGAGCACACTAGTGCTTGAGCCACATCCCCAGCCCATATATTCAGCAAAATTAAGCTTTAGGTTTGATGATGCAATAAAGATATTCCATAATAAACAAAAGTTAAACTAATTTACAGCTAGAGAGCCTGCACTACAGAACAACCTCAGCAAAATATTTCAATAATAGAAAATGAAAAACAATGATGAAAATCAGCAGAGGGATGGATTATGCTAAAGGAAAATCTAATCAGATGAGAAACTGAGTCACATTAAATACAAAGAATTTAAAAAAAAATGGCTGGAAATACAAATAATGTCTCAATAATAACCTTGGATGTTAATGGCCTAAACTCACCAATAAAACAATATGCTGCCTCAAAGAGACTCATATCATAGAAAAAGATATCCACAGACTAAACATGAAGGGTTAGAAAAAATCATACCACTCACTTTGACTATCAAAGTAAGCAGGGGTTTTCATCCTCATATTAAATAAAGCAGGTGCCAAACTAAAGTCAATCAAAAAACATAAAGAAGAATACTACCTACTGCTCAAAAAAATAAAGAAACAAGACTGAACAATTATAAATACACATGCCACGAAAAATGATGCATCTGTGTTCATCAAACAAACTCTTCTCAAGTCCAGGAGTCATATAGATTACAACACAATTATTTTTGGTATTCTTAACACATTTTTTCATCACTAAATAGATCTTCCAAAAAAAGCTGAAAAAGAAACCATAGAACTTGATAATACAATCATAACTTACACTTAACTGGCATATATTGAATATTTCATCCTTCAATGAGAGAATACACTTTCTTCTCAGTAGCACATGAATCCTTCTCTAAAATAGACCATATACTGTGCTGCAAAGCAGCTCTTAGCAAATATAAAAAGTAGAGATATTACCCTGCATTGTATAAGACCATAATGAAATAAAATTAGAAATCAATGATAAAATAAGAAATAAAATTAACTCCAACACCTGAAATCTAAAAAAAATATGCTAATGAATGAACATTTGATTACACAACACATCAAGGAGGATATTTAAAAAAATTAGAGGTGAATGAGAACACAGGTACAACATATTAAAATCTCTGGGACATTATGAAAGCCATTCTTAAAAGAAAGTTATTTGCATGGAGTTCATTTCTTAAAAGAGGAAAAAGTCAACAGAAAAATGCCTTAACATTACATCTCAAAACCCTAGAGAAACAAGAACAAATCAACACCAAAAGCAGCAAAAGACAGGATTACATAATACTAATATAAATAAAAATAAATAACTTAGTAAATCTAATTATAGGAATAAGTCTATCAAACATATAATTGAAAATACAAGTGATTATTAAATTTATGGTTCTCAATCACCCCCATTCCCAGTACTGGGGATGAAACTCAGAAGTACTTCACCACTGAGTTGTACACACAATCATTTTTAAATGAAAATTTTTAATTTTGAAAAATTGAATTGCCCAGGTTGGTTTAAAATTGGGATGTTCCTCTTTTCTTTAACCTCCTGTGTGCTGAGATTATGCCATGAGCCACTGTGCCCAGCTTCTCAATCTTAAAGAATGAAAAGAAGGCACATGAAACTTTAATATTACTAATGAGAAAGAATAATAACCATAGTCCAGTAAAGATATTTTAACAAACAAAAATCCAGGAGAATTTATATGTGCATTTTGTGCCAGTGATTTGACCTGTGAGGTGCAATCAGAAGGATCACAAATTCAGAGCCAATTGCAGCAATTTAGCAAGACCCTAAGAAACCTAATGAGATTGTTTGTCAAATTAAAATATTAAAAACAAGGGGATGAGGTTATTAGAAAAGTGCCACTTGCTTCAATCTCCTATAAAAATGTATAAATAAAAAATCACAAGAGATTACAGAAGGTGATTAATAGCATTACATTTGAAAATCAATAAGGACTATTTTTTAAATAAATTTCATACTGTTAATAGTAACTCAGTGACAAATATGAGTAGATGAATTTTTATATCATAAAGGGGACTATCAGTTAACTTTAGGAAGACAAGCAATTTACACAGGTTAATAGCTGAGTTCTAGCTAAATTTAGGGACCAGATCATTAGATTTTAAGATATTTAAAAAATATTTTGGACTACAGGAAACTAACATGGAATTCTCACTGTTTCATTTTATTAATTTGGAAAAACATGACTATTAAAACCTAAAAAGTATCATAAAGTGCCACAAATAAATGGAAGTGAAAAAAAATCTAATTAGAGAGCCCGCGAGGCTAGTCGCAGACAACGCGGCGGTGATGTCCGGGAGCCAAGCGAGTGTCACTGCGGCAGCGGCGGGGCCTAGTGCACAGCAGTGCGGCCTGGGTTTTGGCCTCCCCCGGATTCCCTGGAAGCAGGCCGGTGGCCAGTGTGGAACGGCAGCAGCAGCAGAGGCGGAGGCTTCAGTGCGTCTCTCTACCCTTTAGCCTGAGCCAAGGGAGGCCAGGCAGCCCGGGTGGCTGGAGGGGGTCCGCTGCCCGAGAATGGGAATTCTCTTCACCAGGATATGGAGACAGTTCAATCACCAGGAGCACAAAGTTATCATTGTTGGATTGGATAATGCAGGAAAAACTACCATTCTTTACCAATTTTCTATGAATGAAGTTGTACATACATCCCCTACAATAGGAAGTAATGTAGAAGAGATAGTGATTAATAATACACGTTTCCTAATGTGGGATATTGGTGGCCAAGAATCTCTTCGTTCTTCCTGGAATACTTATTATACTAACAAGGGGTTTGTAATAGTAGTTGTGGACAGTACAGACAGAGAGAGGATTTCTGTAACTAGAGAAGAACTCTACAAAATGTTAGCACATGAGGACCTAAGAAAAGCTGGATTATTGATTTTTGCTAATAAACAAGACGTTAAAGAATGCATGAGTGTAACAGAAATCTCCCAGTTTTTGAAGCTAACTTCTATTAAAGATCATCAGTGGCATATCCAGGCATGCTGTGCTCTTACTGGCGAGGGATTATGCCAAGGACTTGAATGGATGATGTCACGACTTAAGATTAGATGATCTCTACTGACCTCTTCTCATAGACTTTGTATAAACAAAGTGCTGGACTTTACCTGAAAGCTGCAAAAATTAATGGTTTAGATATATTTATAATAAACTGATTTCAATTTTTTTCTATAAGAAGAAAAATTAAGACCACTTATTTGAAAACAAGATAAAGTCTCATCTTCCAATTTGCTTTCTCATTAGTTCTTTCCAAAGTACTTTATTACAGCTGTGATTGACATTTTTCTCAATGAATCCTCTCAGGACAATGTATAGCCTGTGGTAAGTACAAAGGGAGAGGAAGATGTTTTGATAAGAGCTTTATTATCAGTATACCCCTCCCCAACTGAATGTTGTTCTCTTTTTGTTCCACTAAGTCAAAATACAAATCAGCACAGATACTGTTTCCAATATTTTAAATGTCATGTTAGTTATGAAAAAAAAAGTATTTTACTTAAGGTTGTGTATGTATTATGTATATACCTCAAGTTCAAGTTAATGGCTTTGATTTGTGTTCTAAAGAAAAGCAAATAACACAAAAATTAGTAATATCCTTAGTTATTGCCCTAATGAGATAAGTACTGGCATTGGTATTAAGTGTCATTTTATACTTTTCCTGTATGTTTTCTGTATTGTACTAATCAAACGTCCCCTCTCCCCCAATCATTGAGCTGCTCTTAAGAAAAAAAAAAATGCAGGAAAAAGCTTGACATTGTATACCCATTTTTGTTGATCAGTAACACACATAGAAATGTGTAATCCAACTAAGTGAAATATCTGTCAAATTTTTGGCTTACCCAGTTGACAGAATTACACAGTGGAGCATTGATCAGATTAATCCTTGTATTGGTCTAAATTATTGAATAGATTATTAATCCACTTATAAATCAATCATAAATTGCAATTAAAACTATCAAGTGATTTCTTCTTAATTAAAATCTATTGTGTGAAACATGTCTACCCAAAGAGGTAACATTCTATAAATATTATTAAACAATTAGCTAGAGTCTTTTAAGTATAAAATTTTATATGTCAAGCTGTTAAAATGAGAGTACAAGTAATGCATAAAAAATTTCTGAGCAACATTTGAAATTTTTTAATTTGCAGATTTCTTATTTCTTATTTTAGGATTTGGAATCCTTTTGAGGTTTTTTGTTATTGTTGTTGTTCTTAAGTTTTCTTTGATCTTTCACCTTGTAAATGCATTGTTTAACAATTAATAGTGGTAAATTTTTAATGCTGTTGGCTGGAAAACTGATTGGTGTATGATATATTATTTAGACTAAGAAATAACTTGACCCAAAATACTTTTTGTTTGCTTAGGTTTCTTTCTTTCTTTCTTTTTAATGTCTGAAAATTGAAGGTATTTTTGTCATAATTGTAAACAGAATTATCCTGTATTAAAATATATACTCTATTTGTGTATCTTTTATGCCCTGAAAATTTGAAGGTTAATCCATACTGGCATGTTGTAGAACATTCAAAAAAAGAAATTACTTTTAATACCAACCTTTTAAATTTCATGAAGATTTTGGTAGGAATAATAGTATATACTATAAGCAATGACAAAACAGAAAATTTCTTTCTATGAAATATAAAATGCTCAGTATCTAAATCCAAGTTGGGTGTGGTATATCAGTGTTAACTTTGGATGTTTTGTGTTTTATATTTATGTTGCAGTGTTCAAAATGCAAATATAACATTTAATATTTGTCATGCTTTTACAAAAGTGAATCCTAAATTACTAAGCTTTGTCCATATGTACTCATACTTTTGGAATTACTTGTTGTATATTAAAAATTCCCTTAAAAACCCAATTCTATTTTGCAATTTCATCAGAAACAAATATCCTTTAATAGAGTCCCAAAATCTACACTCTTTGTCCTTTTTATTTTTTAATTTGAGTAATCATGTACTTATCCTTGGATTGCTGTCCTGTCAATACAATACAGATACATTCACTTGTCATCAAAGTGTTGGAAAAGTATTTTAATTGGATGTGTAAAGAAAGCATGCACTACATTGTTAGAGGTGATTTAGTGTAATTGACTACTGACATGATATCATGAGAATGCTTGGTATCTTACACGACATTAACAAAACATGACTTTTTTTTTTATTTTCTACCCTTCTAGACTGAGCATCAGAAATAAAACAGTACCTGTGTGCTTGTATGTAAAACCAAAATTGCAACTGTGAAAAAAAGATATCATTTCTTCTATGAAAATATCAAAATCATTTCAACAGTATTTTTCCAAATAAGATGGAGAGCCTCATGAACACTCATTCTGGCAATTTATATGTAGTTTAAGTGGAAATAAGCAAATAATAATTCTTTTGGGTTTTTAATGTTATTTGGGGTTATTTATGCTCAGCTTTGGAAAGAACGAAGATTTGTATCTCTATTCATGTAGCAAGATTTAAATACCTGTTTTGATACTAATTTTGAGAGTCATAACTTCTTTTGATATGTTGGTAGAAATTAAAAATGAGCATATGCTGAAGCATTAAGATATACTTAATTTTGTCATAATAGCATTTATAAAGTATATCTTTCACATTATATTAAAGGTTCTTGTTTGAAATTTTCAGTTTTCTTTATCTGCCTAGCATATTGTGGCCCTCACAATGGGCAAAGAATACAGTGAAGGCAAGTGGGGTAGGGCAGTGGGGAGTGGGCATTCATTTCCTTATATGATATTCTGCCTTAAGAGTAAAAAAGTGCTTTAGCACTGTTGGTTGGCATATTTAATGCAGGTGGAGAAAGTGACTTTAGAAGTATGACACGAAATAGAGAACAGAAGATTTTCTGGCCTTTTAAGATGTGCCTGGTAGGTAGATACAGAGTCACAGAGAAGTGCAGAGAGCTTGAGGAAAGGTGTGAAGTCCTTGATATGTTCTTTTTCTTTTGTCTTTAGGGTATAGTATTAAGATGCCTAGAAATGCGACTGTATTGTCTCTCTCATGGGCACTTTACATTTCTTGCTGTCAGTACAGCAGCCACATACAGTGCAGTCAACTGCAAAATCTGTTTATAAAAGTAATGTAAATAGAAAAATTATAGACAACTTTCTAGTTTTCTGTGCAGGCAGTTTTGGGAATGTACTGTAGTCTGCTCTGCTTTGTATATAGGGGAAAAGAGCACATTGTAGATTACCTGTGACTTTTTGTCATCTTCTCTTAATTGCCCAGGGTATCCTGGCCTCAATCTCATTTTCAGGGTTTAGGTAGAGGCAAGATTTTTCTCATGACTCAACTTTGATCCCTTCCACTTCTTGCTTCAGGATTGACCTTTCCCATAGCTCAATTATCCGTTATTCTCCTGAAGGTACACTAAACTTTGTCTATAACCATTATTTCCCAAACCACTAGTTCTGAATAGCTCATCTAGTTTCTAGCTATCTACCCACCATTCTTTTTTTTTGCTTGTTTGGATTTTGTTCATTAAAGGGCATTTTAAGAGTTGTTGAGTCCATCAGAAGACCAGATTGCAATGTATACAGCATATACGTGCCAATAGTAGAGTCCTGTATATTATACTGTATTTAACATTTAATGCTTCTTAATTTTTCTTATGCAGCAAAAGTAGATTCAGAAAGATAAGAGAAATACCTAAACTCTGCCAGTTCCTTGAGCTACTAGTAAGGTCTGGAGGATATTAAGTTATATGTGCGTTATTTTCCCACTACCAAGAATGGTTATGTTTTGGAGAATACCAGTTCAAGTAATTTAAGTTGGAAAAAGATACCAAATCTTTATGTAGTGTTTAACTTAAAGATATGCTTAAACCATTGCCCACATTCCATTTCCCCCCTCATGTTTACTTAAAGAACAAAGATCTATATTAGATTTCTAAAGGAATTAGTAATAAGAAACTTAGTTTTACAAAATAAGCCTATTGGGATGGACTTTAAAAGACATTAGAATAATCAACCATTATGTATTGACTGTGTAAATGCAGGTATAAAAAAGAAAAAGGCCTTTAAACTTTAAAGCTCCACTTACACAAAAGAATGAATTAAAGATTATTTTAAGATCATGATAGTGGATTCAAGGAAGGCAAGCTAGAATAGAACACTTTGCTAAAAGTACACTTCTCTTTAATCTTAAAATGGTATGAAATTTTGAAGAAATGTAATAGGATACAGTTGGGTTAGTTATGCAATATTTCTTATTGATTTTGTAGCCTTTCCTCCTTTACATGTTGTTCTGAAAGCTAAAGTTTAAATCTTTATGGTATTGTATGCTAGATAATGTCATTCTTTTGTAGAAAATTCCCATAGTCTGTATCCAAGAAGTGCCTAAAATTGATTTGTGTTGATTTTTAAATCCATCTAATAAATTATGTGTTTTATATGGTAAAAAAAAGAAAAAAAAAATCTAATTAGAATATTGCTAAAGATAATATATAAACAAGAAAAATACATTCTCGATATATAAATCCAGAAAATTCATTTCTAATCAATGCTTAAAGAGGAATACAGATGAAGGAGCACTTTGATGAGTATTTCTAATTAAAATGGCAGTGATTGTAGAACAGAATGAGCACCACTTCTGCAAAGCAGAAGACAGCACCATTTCCAGATGCCACAACACTTATTTTTTAATTAAAATCTTGAACTTCAAAAATGCCAGCTATTTTTTATTTTATATTCAAAGTAATAAAATAAAAATTTACTATTCAAATTTACCTAAATAGATGTTGGGGATGCAAATCAAGTCAAGATGGCGCCTGGCAGTTTGCCAGGAGGACTGGTTTGTGAAGTAACTCCAGTGAGCCATTAAGATGATGAGGATTCCGTAATGACTGACTGCTGTATCTAGATGATGTTAATTAAGTTAAGCTGTGTGTAATTAGTTGGGTATATTTACCTCTGCTGTCCCACAGAGAAGTGGCTCCTGCTACCTTGGGTGCCCGCTACTTTGAGTTCTGGCTCAGTTCCCACTGAGTTCACTTGCAACAAAGTAGTACCCGCTTCAACCTTCAAGTTGCTTGTCACCTCTCGATTATTTTGCCCACCTGCACTTCGGTAAATAGAAAATAAGTATAGTTAAGGAAAGAACGGAGATAAATCACATGTGTGCCAGAAAAGATGAAAAGTAATTTATTATCAATCTTGGAATTGTACACTTAGAAAAACCAGAGATATTCTAAAATTT